GATCTCTTGTGAGTTTAAGGACAGTCTGGTCTACATAATGAGTTCCAGGCAGCCAGACCTATGTAGAGTGACCATGTTTAAAAAAAAAAAGAAAAAGGAAAGTCTCAAACCACATATGTGAAAGATTGATGTGACAGACAGACATGCCCCTGGGTATGCTTGGATTTGCCAATTTTAGCTGAAAATACAGGAAGGATACTTTGAAGAGGTCCACTCACCCAGGAGTCTATCCCCAAAAGCTCTTGCCTTGCCTAGTCACTAATTTTTCCACTGCCAGGACAACACAGCTCCTTTCTACTCTACTTCCCTCCCCTAACTGTGTAGCCCAAGCTAGCCTCAAACCCACACAGCACTCCTCCCTCAGCATCCTGACTGCTGGGATGTACACCACTGTGGGTGTACACCACTGAAGCCCCATGCTTTGTAACAAGATACATGAGAGAGCTCGGTGTATGGGATGTGTCAGGTGTCCCATTGCCTTGGATGCTCATGCACGTGCTGCAGTGTCAGCACTATGCAGGAACAAAGTAGAGAGCTCTCAGGACCCTCTCAGGCAACTCTGTCTAGGTTGGAGGCAGAAAAAGGAAATGGAGGAAGTTGAGAGTGCCAGCACCATTGGGAAGGTGGCCAGGGTGTGACGACACAGGCTGAGCACAAGGAAGACTCTACTGGGAGAACACCTGGAATTGTATGAGGCAGGAAAGCACCATATATGGCTTCAGAAACTTGGTATGTGTGTGTGCTGTGAATGCATGTTTTCATGTGTATGGGCCCATATATGTGTGCATGGATGGATATGCTCATGCATGTGGAGACCCTAGGTTGATATAGGGAATCTTCCTCTATTTCTTCTCACCATATTCATTGAGGCAGGGTCTCTCAGTGGGATCCAGGGCCCAGCCATACAACCATTTAGGCAGTCAGCTTGTTTTGGGGACCCTTACCCCTTGTTAGTTAGAGTTTCTATTGCTGTGAAGAGACACCATGACCACGAACTCTTGAAAAGCATTTAATTTGGGTGGCTTATGTTTTCAGAGGTTTAGTCCATTGTCATCACGGTGCAACATGGTGGTATGCAGGCAGGCATGGTACTGAAGAAGTAGCCAAGTATCCTACATCTTGACCTGCAGGCAACAGGAAGTGGTCTGAGACAATGGGCATGGCTTGAACATATATGAAACCTCAAAGCCCACCCCCACAGTGACACACTTCCTCCAACAAGGCTACACCTCCTAATAGTGCCACTCCCTGTGAGCTAATGGGGGCCAATTACATTCAAACTACCACACCCCCATCTCTGCTTCTCACATGTTGGCATTACAGGTGGTCTGCCATGCCCACTGGGCATTTATGGGGGTTCTGTGGATCTAAACTCTGGTACTCATGCAGTTGTTAGAGATAGGAATGCATGGTGAGTGAACAGGCCGAGGGCTTCTGAGCCTCCCTTTAACCATATACACTTGGTCTCTGAGCCCTGCAGATGACAGGCACAGTGACATGGTACCTCTCCTGTGGATACAGGAAGCTACATCTGGGAGAGGTGAAGTGCTGTGACTGATGGAGGCATCTGCTTGTGATGGGGGTGCGGGGTGTGATCCTGTCTGGGCAGGGCAGGCCAAACTTTCCCAGCATCTCAGGAATGTAGGCAAGAACCACTCAAGAGGGAGCTGCAGGACACCAGTAAAGGAGGATGACATTTTCCTATCTCTTTTATAGCCTGCCAGAAGACCCCTGTGTCACTACCTCTTTACACTGGTCACCTCAGAGCTTGACTTGAGAGCAACAGTGACCTGGTTGGTCCCAGCTCCATGTGTAGAAGTTCTCAACAGAGCAGCGGGCTGGGCTGTTGGGGTACTAAGTGCTCTGATGACAGCACACCTCTGCTCAAAGCCATTCCATGGCTCCTTCCCTCCTTGAGGCCAGCATCAAATTCTTTCAAGAGGCTTATGTGGCTCTGGTGGCCAAGCCCCCTCTTCCCTCATCTCCTTGGTTTGCTCACTACCGGTGATACTGAAACATGGGGGTGAGTGTCACTCAGGGCTTCTGCTTGGAAAGGGGGTGTGACTCAGGGGACCAGTGGGCTACCTGTGTGAAATTGGCGGCAGAATGCCAAGCAGAGATGATGCTGGCCAGGAAGTGGCAGCCCCAGTACCCATTGTAGAGTTAGAGTATCAGAACTGACAGAGCAGCTGAAGCTTTGATGTTACTGCTGAGAACCTGGATTCCCTTCTCTAAACTGGAAGGAGAGCTTCTGATGGCCATGTCCTCTAAAGTGAGTGTCATTGTGGAGCAAAGCTGAGCTGGAAGGGACATTTCCCTCTGTCATCACTTGTGTTTTTCTTTAAAATTCTTCACGAGTATGACTGTTTTGCTGGATTAACCTATAGTTTTGGGGACCGCTACCCAGGACTCAGGGACAGTTTGGAATATGGCAGAGGGGGGCTGGGCCTTTTTTTTTTATATATAGCATGAGCCTTCCACATTGGGGCTACTAATAACAGCCAGTCCTTTGACATCAATTAAATTGCAGACATGAAGTTTGATGCTTTGTTTAAGTTATGAAGGGTAGTCCCTAGACTCCTTATGATGTAAAGACTATTATTAAACTCCTTTAAAAAATGGACCAGGAAACTGGAGCTTAGAAAGGTTAAGTAATTTGAAGGTCAGACATCTGGGAGTGGCTAAGCTGACTCCGATAACAGTGGATCCATTATAATTGCATTAATTTGTTTATTATTTTATAAGCATGTAACTTAAAAAAATTTACTGATTTTCACCGAAGTTTTGATTTTCAGGGCACAGCATCTAAGGTATTGAAGAAAAAAGCCACATGACCTTCAGGTGCTTGCTAAAGAATGGGAGTGTCTCAGTGTATTGTGGGAGACACTGTATAGTCTGGGCCACAGCGAACCCAATGGCATGTCTCATGAACACCTGTATTGAAACTGTGTATGACTAGCACTGCTTTGGAAGGAAATGTCCAGTTATCTGTGGCAGGCACTCGTGAGAAAGGCAGTGCAAATAACAGAGTCCAGTTATTTGGGGCTTGTTCTTGGACATCCCCTTTTTGATATCCTTAGGACAGTAGGACCAATCCTTGGTGAATTCCTGGTGTGGTTAGTCTCCTTTGTCTACTTCACTAGATTTCAAATCACCAGGAGATGAGACTTGGGTGTGTCTATGAGGGCTTTTCTGGAGAAGTTTAATTAAGGAGAGAAGACTGACTGTGGGTGTAGGAGGTACCACCTGCAGGGCAGGGATTTCGGCATGAATAAAAAGGGGGAAAGAATATTCTTCTTGGGACTTTGAGAGCCCATCCCACGTAAAGGGATACACTCTGGCCCTGGACACATGGGGAAGGACCCAGGCCCAGCACAGGAAGATTTGGTGGACTTTGCAGAGCCCCCATTGAGGGCCCTACCCTGCCTGGGGAGTGGTGGGTGGATGGGGTAGGGGGTAGGTTGGGGGTGGGAGAGGAGGGATGGGCATGAGGGGAGGGAGAGGGAGAAGGGACTTACATGTGAAACAAGCTTGTTCCCTAACTTGAACTAATAAAAAAAATAAAAAAGAATATTCTTCTCTCTCTGCTTCCTGAATGTGGGTGCAGTGTGACCCCAAGCTCCTGCTACCATCCGCCCTTCCTCACCCTGATACATTGCGCCCTCTCTGTGAGCCCAAATATACCTATTCTTCCTCATGTTCATAGCTTTTGTCTAGTATTTTATCACAGCAGTGAGACAAGCAATGGATTCGACTCTCTGTGCAGTGTCTGGACACTGGTTTCAGGTCATTTGGTGGGTTTATGGGAAAGTCATTGATGGGAACTTTCTCCAGACACTTGCTCATTCACTGCCTTCCCTTCACCTGGTCATGTGTAGGCTAGGCTACTCTTGAACTCAGGATCCTCCTGCCTCAACCTCCTACATGTGGTAAGCCACCTCTCCTGGCTCAAAGATAACTTTATAGGAAGCTTTAAAATTTTTTAGGATTTGATTATGAACTAGAAGGGACTCTAATATCTGCAGCTTACTTTTTAAAGTGGCTTTTATAGTAATTTATATTTATAACTTGCCTGAGGCAACCTGAGGTCATTAGAACAACCGTGAGACCTACTGTGTGACAGAGTGGCTACAGTCACTTCTGGCATGGGGACTATGAATATTGCTCTGTGCCTGCAAGGCCTGTGATTGTCTATAACTTGATAAACATTATTTATTTATTTATTTATTTATCTATTTATGTTTTTTTGAGACAGGATTTCTCTGTGTAGCCCTAGCTGTCCTGGAACTTGCTTTGTGGACCAAGCTGACCTCAGAGATCCATTTGCCTCTGCCTCCTGAGTGCTGGAATTAAAGGTGTGTGCCACCATTGCCTGGCTATTTATTTCTTTAAAATTGAAAATTTACATTATTAAAAAATTGCTTTTGGGCACTGATTTCTCAAAACTGTATCCTGTAGGGATGTTAGTCAGTTGTTAGAATGCTTGCCTAGCAAGCTTGAAGCCCTGGGTTCAATCTCCAGCACTGTGTAATCTGGATACAGTAATCCATGCCTATTATAATTCTAGAACTTGGGAGATGGAGGCAGGAGATTGAAAGCTCACAATAATTCTTATCTGCATAGACAGTTCAGAGTTATCCTGGTCTCTATGAGGCCCTTTCTGAAAAACCAACCAATCAACCAATGACTCTTTTAGACTCCTCCAAATTTGGCATTTTTTTCTCCCAAAGAGGACCATGATTAAAAAAAAAAAAAACAACAAGCAAAACAGCTACCCTTTTGGGTACCACCATGGAGGCTGGTAACTGCAGCCCCTGACAGCTGGGAGAACAAAGCAATGTAAAGGTCTCTGGAACTCTTCAGGAGAACCAAGTGGCGTGGACAACAGCCCTCAGCCTCGGGTGGCTCAGATGGAGCTGGCTGGGGCTGAGAGGAGAGATTTGGGTTATCTTTCTGAGTTTCACAGTCTTTCTCTCTCTTTCACCTCTTTGGGTTTCCAGCAGAGACACTGAGACAGCGATTGGAAGACCTGGAACAGGAGAAAGGCCGCCTGCCTTGGGCTCTGCCTTCTCAACAACCTGCTCTTGGCAGCTTCTTGGGCTACCTGGCAGCACAGACCCAGGTGGCTTTGCATGGAACCACCCAAAGGTGAGTACCCGTGGATGCCACCACAGTCCCCACTTGGCTGTCCTTTCTCTTCTGTCCTCTCTCCATCCTGTTATCACTGGCCATTCTCCTTGCTGCTTCTGAGGTCTTGCCTCTCTCTCTGTATCCTCCCATTGACATACCCATCTCTGTAGGGTCCTGCATATTTCTGGTGTCTCAGACATAAGCACCAGGTATTGTTTTGTCCAAACCCCAGTCCTCTGAGGATTCCTCTCTGTAGAGTGCTGACCCTGGGCTTCCTGTGGTCAATAATACATTTATTAATTTCATCATTTTATCCTTAAAGAGGCACTGTGCTTTTATCCTTGCCTTTATTAAGCTTATTATGGTTGATGGTTGGCTTTGGCTGTCAACTTGGCTGCATTAAGAGATGTCTTGGAGTGGTGAACCACACTCATTGGGGCTTCAGGGGCATTTCCTAAGATGATTGACACCTGGGGCCATTGTTGGGAGAAGAAGGAAGGCTGAGGACAAAGCTGCATGCCTGCTCTAGCCTTCCCATGTCTCTGTGCTGCTGCTGCTGCTGCTCTGCTGACATCAGATTCCAGCTTCTTTGGCCTTTCGACAACGTGGACTCAATGCTAACAGCTCTCCAGGGAGCTTCCAGGCCTCCAGCTCTGGCTTGATACTGCTGAGGTGTCCAGCTTTGTGGGCTGAGCAGCTCCCGTGTTCTCTGCCTCCACAGCATATAGGCAGCCATGATTGGATTAGCTAGCTTCTAGCGTGTAAGCCAATCTAATCCCTCTCTTATAGTATGTGCATTCTGTTCCTCTGGAAAACCTTGCCAAAAATCAGTCTTCTAAAGTGTTTTTTTTTTGTTTCTGCCTGTGTACCTATGTGTAAAGTGCAAGTGTGTATGTATTTTTTGCATGTGTGTGAGTACATGTGTGTGTGTGCATATGGAGGTCCAAAGTTAACATCAAGTGTCTTCCTTGATTTCTCTCCACTTTATTGAGGTGGGGCTTTTTTGCTGAACCTGGATTGATTCTGGTTAGTTTAGTCAGCCAGATTGCCTGGAGCACTCCCTATCTTCGCCTCCTGAGTGCTGGGGTTATGAGTGAGCCCTCAAGTCTGCCTAACTTTTGTGTGGGTTCCAGGATCTGAACTCTGATCCTCATGCTTCTGCAGTGAGCATGTCATCCCCAGTCACCTCTCTCTCTCTCTCTCTCTCTCCTCCTTCTCCTCTTCTCTCTCTCTCTCTCTCTCTCTCTCTCTCTCCTCCTCCTCCTCCTCCTCATCCTCCTCCTCCTCCTGGATTCCTTGTCTCATGACTTCTGCCTTCAGTTACCTCAGAAACACCTCAGACCCCTATTCTGTGACCCTCTAATTCATGGGGTGCTAGCTCTGGCCACATCTATCATCTCTGTCATTCTCACTCACCTTTCCATCCTCAATTCCAAATCTTCCTCTGCTGCCTGCAGTTTTTATTTGGGTTATTGCAGCAGCCGCTCACCTTGCTGGATTTTCTCACTTCACTCTTGGACATTGCCCACCTCCCACAAAGCAATAAGGACAAGCCTCATGCTGGAATCAGTGGATCCTGGGCTACCCGGATGGCTCCTGTGCTCTGAGTGTGACCCCCCCCCCAAAGCCTCTGTGATGCAGCCTTACTGGTGCCCAACCTCTGACTGGTCAGCACCGGCACCAACTTCCCACACAGCTGAACCTTGCTTGAGTCTATGATCTCCGATGGGTCCTGTAACAGTCACTAATGCTTGCTTTTACCCTTCAAGATAGTAAAGTCACCATCCTCCCAAACCTCTGCCTGTCAGTCACACATCTCACTGAGACTTTCTAGGATATCCTGAGTGACAGTGTCTCAGTCCCGAAGCCTTTGATCTGCTGCCTTGAATATCCCCTCATTCTGAAGGATGACTGCAGAGGGGGATTGCACTGTCTTTACCTCTCCAACTGACTGTTGCAGGAGTTATGTATGTGTACATGCTTATATAGGTTCACAAGCATATGTGTGCATACAGGGACGGGGGAGAGCTGGAGGGCAACCTTCACTTCGGTCAGTCTTGCTTCTGATGCCCCAGCCCAGGGCTGGAGGATGGGAACTGGGATTGTGCTGCCATTTCCTCCTCTGACTGGCTGACTGTAACCTCTATATTTCCTACTTGCCTCATCAGAAAGTGAGGGACCCTGTCTTCCTCACTTTAGTTATATTTTATTCTTGACTTTCTTTTGTCAATTTCACCTGTCCTGTTACTACCATAGCTAGAGAATGACTTGATATCTGCTTTGTTGTCACATCTTTACAAAGCACGTGGGCATGGTTACAGAGCTGCTACTAATTAAGGTCTGCCTTTGTATGTGCGGAGCAGCCTGAGGAGTTAGTTCATCCTCACCAGGGCCCGCTGGACTGGAAGGCTCTCCAGGAGACGCTAGTTCCTGCAGTCCTCACAATGACCACCAGGGGGACCTGGATACAAACTTCTCAGGAGCTTGGCCCTGAGTCCAGGGGGAAAAGGCTCTTCTGTATGCTGGGGAATTTTTCTACATAAATGAAATAGTTTTGTTAGCATGGCCATCTTTCAACACGAATTAGTAACTTAAATAAGTACCTCTTTACCTTTCTGGGATCAAGTGTTTCTATGAGAGTCTGATGAAAGCAACGTATGTTCCCATATTCAAACTGTCGGGGCTGTCTCATGAGAGACCGTCAGATATGAGGCCCTCCCATTCACTTTGGCCATGGGAAGAGGAGGAGGAGGCAGTGTCTCAACATCTCAAACTATGAAAGTTTAGAGTAATATTTAAGGGGATGTAAATAACCCCAGAGTCTATCAGCCACTTAATTTTTATTGTTACTTATTCTGAAAATTACTGTCAACCTCTAAGTAAGCAGCTTGTGGTTTTTGTTCCCCTTGGAACTGTTTACATCAGCCCCTGAGTCACTGGGGTTTGGAGGTCACTGCATCACTCTAATAGTGGCCATCAGTCCTCACACTGTCTCCTTCGTGTTATTCTCTGTTGCTCAGTAATGGGGCCAGTACTGGGGTGAGGTGGACGCTGCTCCTCAGTTCAAGATGTTTTTTTTTTTTTTTTTTTTTTTTTTTTTTTGACAGGGTTTCTGTGTGGCTCTGGCTGTCCTGGAACTCACTCTGTAGACCAGGCTGATCTTGAAGTCAGAGATTCACCCGCCTCTGGTTTTGTCCTTTTGTTGTTGTTTGAGACAGGGTTTCTCTGTAGCTTTGGAGCCTGTCCTGGAACTTGCTTTGCAGTCTCAAACTCACTGAGACCCACCTTCCTCTGCTTCCTGAGTGCTGGGATTGAAGGCCTGCACCACTATTCTTTAACAGTGTGGTAAATCCACGTCTCCACTTGGTTACAGTATCCCAGGTAGATAGTATAGGCATTGGGGCATTTCTGCTTTTTTGTTTTCTTCATATAGCCATGTCACTCTGAGATGCCAACCACAGGCCAGATTCATAGCTTTCTCTGCCTACTGTTCGGACACTTATTCTGCTGTCACAGCTGCTTCCTGGCTAGTGGAGCCAATGTCCTCTGTAGGCAGGTGTCAGTATGCTCACTGTCTTGTGGGGCTCACATGGTCCCTACCTCATGGCCTGCACTCTGACTTGAAATGACTTTCTTGTGCCTCAGCAATAGCTGCTTTACCATGTGGCCCCACTTCTCCCATGGGGCCGAAGCTGACACACCTCTGCTGTGGGCTGATGGGTGCTGAGACTACCCACAATGGACCATGTCCGTCTGCCATGCTGCTCAGTTCCCCCATGTCTGCCATAGGACAAGCCACGTCAGAAGGAAGGGTTGTGACAGCTGCTATGGCAGACACTATTGGCATCGCGTTTTTGCCTTGAGCCTCCAGGACCTTCTGCAGCTGAGGATACATTCATGTCACTGTCTTAGCACTTTAGCTAGGTTCTCTGCCAGACAGTTTTGAAACTCTGCTATTAGTGTGAGTGAAAATCACAAAAGGAAAATTTTGTACTGAAGTACATGGTGATGATGGTGATGGTGGTAGTGATGATGCTGGTGATGATGCTGGTGATGATGCTGGTGATGATGCTGCTGGTGATGGTGGTGGTGGTGGTGGTGATGGTGGTGATGCTGCTGCTGCTGCTGCTGCTGGTGGTGGTGGTGATGATGATTATGAAGGTGATGACAGTGGAGGGATATTTTTGTTTCCTGGGCAGCTGCATATGAATATAACCCCAAGGGCAACAGTCACCGGTGCCCTGGCCTCTAGGGGCAGTTTTGAGCAATGTGCCATGTTTTTCTTCTTCTAGAAGGTTCCTGGTAGGATGGGGCCTCAGTTGCCTCTGTGATGATCAGTTAGATTATACATTTTTTTTCTGACTCTTCTCCCTGTAGGTTCCAGTTCTCTGGTGTCTTATGGTTGTTTCTCTAAAAACAATCTGCTCATATCCTTGCCTCAAGCCTAGCTGTCAGGAGAACCCAAACTGGACAGCTGTGTACCTTGGAGAATCAGTCTCCACTCTTACATCTTGAGGTGCCTGGGCTTTCTGATCTCTTTTGTGGGAGCAGGATGGATAGCTCTCTGTCTGCTCCAGTAAGTGGGAGGCGGTATGTTTTCATACCTCACTCTGATGGCGGGTAAGCAGGAGGTGCTGAGGGTGGCATCCCACTGGGGGCTCCTACCCCACAGTTATAGACTTAAGGTGAAATACTTCTAGGCCTATTCTTGTCAACTCTCATTTCTGATTCTGGAACAATGGGGAAAATTCCACCTCTTTGACACACCAGGGTCAGAAGGAAAGATTTTCCTTTCTCTGGAGTATTTGGCAAGCATTGTTGTTGACTGGTAATTTTCTCATTTATACCTTGTTTTCCCCTAATTACATACCATGTCATGTGACTTCTCACTGGCTCTTCACTAGCATAGGCATCCACACTGGTACTCTTGCTACCTAAATTCATGCACACACACAGAATATCTTTAATCAGAGACCTTTCCCCAGAGGATAACTTAAAACATGCAGGAGCAGAGTCTGAAAAAGATAAAAAATGAAGGACAGGAAGGATTTCCAATCTGACCATGATAGAACTCTGGCATTGTCCAGATGTAACAGCTGCTGCTTGTCTGTTCCCCTGAGATGGGACCAAAATGGTAAGTGTAGGCTGGCAGCATGCCACCCTGGACTGCCTGCTTTTCCTTTCTTCCTCTCGAGCATACAAGCCTTTGATTTCAAGTGGATAGTACAGCAGACTGAAGTGTCACAGGGCCCAGTGATCCTCAGGTTATAATAAATACCCAGGGCACAGAAGGGAAGCTCACAAGATGTTATCAGGAAATAAAGATGTTGTCTGTACATTTTATAGCTGTGCTTTTCTGTGTGGTGCATGATCAGGTTTTACAGGTGGGGTTCATCCCTTCAGTGATTGATAGGAAAGATTCCGGTCAGAAAGAGGAAGATTCCCTACAACTGGGCTGGTCCTAGTGGGTACCAGTCTGAACCCCCAAGGCTGAGAGTGGTATCTTAGATCTTACATACCCCTGCCCCCTACACCTCCGTGCTATTGCAGGTTTTTATCTTCCCCGGAGGGGTCTGCTTATTTTATATACTGATTAGTTTATAGCAAGGATTCCAATTTGCTCTGCCATGAGGGATCACATATTGAGACTTTACAAAAATAAATAAAAGAGTATGCAGTATTGGGAGACTCTGGGGACCAAAAACATGGAAGATGGAACCCGTCCCTATGTGAGCCATGTGTCCTGAGGCCACCCCTAGCTCTCCATAGATCTCTTTTCTGTCCTGGTAGTAGGAGTATGAGAGACAGACAGAGGGGTGTTGGTTAAGCACAGGGGCTTATGGGGTGGTAATGGATGTGATTTAACTATCATGCATAGAGTTAGTTCCCAGCTCTGCACCTGTAGCTTCTCTCTGCAGCTGATTTTTCAGTTCTGTGTTGACTTCCTACACTAGCTCCCACCTCCACCCAGATGGCAGTGAATGGAGAAATTCAATGAACTCTAATATCAGCATAGACCAAACACATTGGGAAATAAGTAAGGGGAAGAAATGAGCAAATGCAGCGGGAGACAGGGTGGGAATGACTTCTCCATGTTCAAGGCTATGAACTCATTAAGCTACCCAGCAGGTGTTAGCTGAGTCCCAGCTCAGTGCTGGACACTGGGAACATTGGCACAAGAAGAGCCATGTCTCCCTCAGAGACTCACAGTCCAGCCCAAAGAGCAGGTAGCAGCCCAGAGCCCAGAGCCCAGAGCCCAGAGAAGGGCTTGCACCCTCTTTTCACAGCTGTTGGAAGCCAAGAGCACCATAGAGCCGTTATACACGGAAGAGGCTCATTGTGCTGCTGTCTTCATATTCATGTTCATCCTGTGTAGGAGTGTGTCCGCCAGACAGGTCCGGTGTTCACTTTACTGGTGCACATGTTGAGACGTTGGAGGTTTCCAGCAAATGCCCCAAGGACAGGGTGTCTTTCTTCCTTCTCCAGGTAGCCCAGTATGAGGAGGACAGTGAGGTTCAGAGGGTTGGGTTTGTTCAAAGACACCGCCAGAGAAATGCAAATCCAAGTTCTCACTGTGGCCTTGACCTCTGTGAACCGTGTTCTCCCTATCCAGTGCTGTCCTAGGAAGAGCCTCTCAGGGGACTGCCCCACAGGGGAGGGTGGGATGTGATAGAAGGGGGAAAAGGTGTCTGAACTTTCTGTGAGTCGTACGACCTGGGGTGTCTTGGAAAGTGCAGGAGTGCAGGTGACAGGCTGGCTGTCTATATGTGTCTACTTGACACAGCTAGAGTCATTGGAGAGGAGAGAGCCTCATTGAGAAAATGCCTCCATAAGATTGGGCTGTAGACAAGTCAGTAGGGCATTAGTTTTCTTAATTAGTGATTGATGGGGGAGAGCCCAGCCCATTGTGGGTGTGGCCACCCCTGGGCTGGTGGTCCTGGGTTCTATAAGACAGCAGGCTAGTGAGGGTGGAAGGATGGAAGCCGAAATAAACTGCTTCCTCCTCTCAGTTGCTTTATGATCAGAGTGTTTTATCATAGCAACAGACAGGCAACTAGGATGGTATGAGTTAGCCTGGTCTACGTGACAGATTATAGTTGAAACATGTACATTAGGGACTTCAGCCCTGTGAGTGCCTGGGTGACCCTGTGACTGGGGAAGCTTTGTGCAGTTTCTCACTCTTTAAGTACATGTAGACCTGGCAATGTCTGCTTCACTACACCTGTATGTAATCAGTTGTGTTTTATACTCTTTACTCTTTGCTCTTTGGGGCCCACTATCCAGCTCCCAAATAAATGTTATTCTTACGTATGAATGCCTGGCCTTAGCTTGGCTTGTTTCTAGCAGGCTTTTCTTAAATTATTTTATCTTTTCCCTCTGGGCTTTTCTCTTTCTCTATTTCTGTATACGTTTTTTTTTCCTTCTTACTCTGTGGCTTGCTGTTTAGCTGGGTGATTGGCCCCTGATGTCCTCCTGTATCTTCTTTTCTCAGATTTCTCTTTCTATTCATTTTCTCTGCCTGCTAGCTCTGCCTGTCCTTTCTCCTGCCTCAATACTGGCTGTTCAGCTCTTTATTAGACCAATCAGGTGTTTGAGACAGGTGAAGTAACACAGCTTTACAGAGTTAAACAAATGCAACATAAAATAAGGCAATACATCTTTGCATCACTAAACAAATGTTCCACAGCATAAACAAATATAACACATCTTATGTTCCACAACACCTGTACCAATGCATATCTGTTACTTGCAGGTCTGGCAGCGATGCTCCAGAGGCCCCACTTGATGGAGAGCCAAGGACCACTGCCCAGGATAGTCCATCTGCATCCATCACCAGGCGGGACTGGCTTATTCGAGAGAAACAGCAATTGCAGGTGAGTGGTATAGAATTTTCCAGAGAGGCACTGGCCCTTTTCTTATCCATGTGAGTCGGATGCAGTGAAGTCGGTCTTCACACTGTTGAGTGTAAGGGCTCCAAGCAGAGGTAATGCTGCGGCCGGAGGGCACAGAGGAACCTGCAAAGGCACCTGCACAGTATTATGGGCCTCAGAACCTTCTGGCTCTGCTCTCTGACTGTAGCTAGTGTTTCTCCCATTATTTGACCCATAGACGCTCCCCTTTGAGGGACAGGGAGAGGTTTGTGCTCTGGGAATGCTTTGTGTGAATTCCTATCATGGTGAACTCTGGGAAGTAACTGTTAAGGGACATGGTTTTATGCCTGGGCTCGGCATGAGGCTGCATCTGTAATGGCCAGCAGGTATATGGAAGCCATGCTTGGTGCAGAGCAGTGGTGACATCTGGCCAAGAAGTGCCCAGGGTTAGAACTCTGAATGAGGATCCAAAGTGAGACCAGAGCCAGGAGGGGCTCCAGAAGTTTTTGAAACAGTAAATATCCTGGGGCAGGGACAGAGAAGTGGTGGGGTGTGGGCATACTTGAGCCTAAAGCCTGGAGCAGGAACTGGGAGCTATGAGAAACACTGGAATCATGGAAGAGCCTCGGTGAATAGAGTGGAAAGGCCATCAAATATGATTCTTTTAAATAATTTATTTATTTTAATGTGCATTGGTGTTTTGCCTGCAGGTATGTCTGTGATAGGGTGTCACATCTTGGGGTTACAGACAGTTGTGAACTGCCATGTGGGTGCTGGGAATTGAACCCAGGTCCTCTGGAAGAACAGCCAGTGCTCTTAACCACTGAGCCACCTCTCCAGCCCTCAAATATGATTCTTAACATCAACTTTGGGCCTCCACATACACACCCAACCACATGCATAGGCATCCTACCCACACATACCCACATACATGCAAACATACACATACCCCACACACACACACACACACACACACACACACACACACACACACACACGAAAATGGAAAAAATAACAAAAGAGGAAAAATGTAGGATCATCACAGAAAATAGATTGCAGTTCCTCAAAAACTTAAAAATAGAATCCTTAGGACCCAGCGATCCCATTGTGGTTATGCACCTGCAAAGAAATAAAAGCACAGACTAGATGAGACATCTGGATTACTATAGCTGATGACAGCTGGGTGGATAAGCCAAATGTGGTGTGGATGCAAAGGTCTGTTATTCACCTTTCAGGGAAAGGACATTGTGCCACAGGGCACAGTGCGGGTGAATGTAGAGGACAGTGTGTTATGCCACATAAGCCAGTCATGAAAGATAGATACTGTAAGATTCTACTTAGAAGAAATCCTCCAGTAGGGAAGCAGATTGGTGGGAGGCAGGGGAGGGGATGGTGTGTGGGTGGGCAGGGGGATGGAGAGTTGGTGTTTAATGGAGACGGAGTTTTGTGGTTGGATGGTGGGGATGCTTGCCCAGTTTGTGTGTGTGCCTATGTTACTGAACTGTGCATGCAAAATGGTGGAGATGCCATGTCTTTTGTTATGTCTTTTTTACTATAGTTTAGAAAAACTTGAGTCTGTCTTCCAAGTATGGGGAGGCCGAGGCTTTATTGCTATAGGTTCAAGCCTGGGCTATAAGATGAGTTCTGGGCTAGTTACTGAGTGAGATGTTGACTCTGAGAAACAAAACCAAAACCAAACCAAAACAAAACAAAACAAAAATGAGAGCAACAAAGAGTGTGGGTTTCACAGAGTGGTTAGTTTTGAGTTTCTGTTGAGCACACTGAGACTGTGGGCTAGCTCAGCCCTCTCTCTTCTCTGGGTGGGTGCAGGAGGTAGAAGCTGTGGAGAATCTGCACTGTGGGTGGAGAGAACATCCTGGAGATAGGGAGATATCAGGAATTAAGCTGTACTCTTATCAGCTAGGAACAGTGAGGGAACAGGGGGTGTGTCCGTTAGTAGAGCCTGGTGTTATATTCAGACTCCTACGCAGTGAGATGGCTATCTGCCCAGTGCTGAGCTCACACTGTGTTCAATTACCTGCTGCTTGTTTATTTCTTGGCCTGGAGACAGATGATGGTTATGGATTAACTTAGATTCCAGCTTAATAAATTAGGGCAAATTGTGTGTGTGTGTGTGTGTGTGTGTGTGTGTGTGTGTGTGTGTGTGTGTTTGAGTTTGAATGTGGGCACAGGTGCATGTATGTGCACATGTATGTGGAGGACAGAAGTTGATATTTGATATTTACTCCAATATCCCTTTACCTTATTATTATTATTTTTTTGACACAGGGTTTCTCACTGAATCTACACTTTACTGATTGGGCTAGACAGGCTGGCTAGCAAGTCCCTGGCATCCTCCTGTCTTCTACCTCCCCTTACCCTATGCTGGGTTTGCAGATTCATTCTGTGGGTCCCCAGCTTTTGCATGGGTTCTGGGTATCAGAACTAGCTCTTCATGCTTGCATGGCAAGCACTTGACTGATGGAGTTCTCTCACCAATCCTGGGAAGTAAATTGGTCCAACAGTCTGAAGGACACTAGACTCTGGCTCGACAAATCTTGTTCTCCCAATCCTGTTGACCCGACAAGCCAAGGTTCTTGTGTTTTTGTACATCCTAAGTTCTTGTGTTTGGGAGCAGGCTGCCCTTTCCCCTCCTGGCCCACAGCTGGTGTCTCAGTGTTTGGTGTGAGTGGCTAGTGCCTTTGCTTCCCCATCAGAAGCGAAGCCAGTGATACATCATTTGCTGGGTTCTCTTAAGTCAAAACCTTGGCTAGCACTTGTCCGTATTTAATGCTTGGGAAGGAGAGGATGTTTTTCTTCCTGCCAACTCATCAGAAACATAAAACTGGCATGATTTTCCCAGTTCAGCAGACTTCTGGAATTGGCCTGCCTCGGAAGAGTGGGGTGGGCTCCGAGATTGTGGTGCATATGGCCTGCTCTCATTTAACCGATTCATTAGTAGCAGAGCAGGGTTAATGGATGAAATCTGTTCCCCCATTCTCTGCAGAAGGAAATCGAAGCTCTCCAATCAAGGATGTCTGCGCTGGAGGCAAAAGAACAACAGCTGAGCCAAGAGTTGGAGGATCAGGAGACACTGCTCCAGTGGCAGGGCTGTGATCTGATGCCACTGGTGGCCCAGCTGTCCCCAGGACAGCTGCAGGAAGTCAGCAAGGCCTTGGGAGAGACATTGACCTCTGCCAGCCAGGCTCCTTTCTGTGTGGAGCCACCTGAAACCCTTAGGAGGTATTGGTGATTTTCTAACTGATTTTCCAGCGTTCCCTCTTTCACCTGTTTATTGAGATGGCTTTGCTGCCCATTCATTGTTCACAGGTGCTTCTCAGGTGGTTTGTTTGCTTAGTGGAAGTGCTGGTGGTGTTGAGATGTAAGATTCTTCACTGCGGGGTCAGTTCTGAGCACTGGGAGTTATTTGGCATCCAGTCTACCCAATCCCTAGCTGCCAGCACTGTCCTCTCTCCAATAGGCAGTTTCCAAAATTCCAAGGGGCTGGCTTGTCTCTCCTTTCCCCTTCCCTCCCAAATTTGGGGTCAGTTGGATAGAGATTTTGACATTGGCTTTTGCTGAAGACAATTATCTGGAAAGAGATTTCACTTCTAAGAGGTAGGGTGTGACATCAGAAGGGTGTGACTTGGGGCATAGGGCATGGCATTGGAAGAATGTGACCTGGGGGATGGGATGTGACATTGAAAGAGTGTGACTTGGGGGAAAGGGCATGGCATTGGAAGAGTGTGACTTGGGGGGTAGGGCATGGCGTTGGAAGAGTGTGACTTGGGGGGTAGGCTGTGGCATCGGAAGAGTCTGAGCTGGCTGGGGAGATTTTCAGTTACAAAAGTATTTACTGCATGAGCGCAAGGACCTGATCTTGGATCCCCAGAACCCACATAGAAATCTGGGTGCAGTGTAACCCCATTTCTGAGAATGCAGACTCAGGATCCCTAAGGCTTTCTGGCTAGCCAGTTTAGCTGAATTAATGAGCTCCAGGTTCAGTGACCCTATATTACAAAGATGAGACAGAATGTGATTGAGGAAGATATATGACCCTCCCTCTGCACGCACACACACACACACACACACACACACACACACACACACACACCCCAAAAAACCAAAACAAAAAACCCAACCAACCAGCCAACCAACCAACCAAATTAAAAACTCCCAAACCAAACCAAACCAAACAAAAACTCCAAACAAATGAACAAATAAACCAAGAGGGCAACATAAGCAGTATTTTTTTTATCAGGTCACTGGGATGAATGAGCTTGTGTTGCTGCTGTTGCTGGCTAAGCAATGTCAAATGCCTGGTCCTGGGCAGAGCTACTTTGTGGGTCACATCAATTATGCTGTCTGTTTTACAGACAGTGAAAAGTAGTTTAAGAAGGTTAATAATTTAAAAAATTGATAATCTGCCCAAAGTGTTAATAGGAGAGAAAAACAGATAGACTGCTATTCCTGCTTTCTCAAACGTGGTGTCTCATCTATCACGAAGGGGTCTTTCCTATGTTTTACACTGCAGAGAGCTTGTGAAATACACATATACACATCTGCTAGGTTGTATTTAATTTTTTTAAAGACAGGGTCTCACTATGTACCTCAGGCTGGCTTCTAGTTCTCTGTATATCTCAGGCTAGCCTTGAACTAGGGATCCTCCTGTTTCTGCCCTCTAAGTTGTTGCTCTTAAGGGGTTTCAATCTCATTTTGGAGACACATGGAAGACACACTTACACATGTGGGAAAGGAGTGCTTGTGGATGGGCAGGGATGTGCAGTCAGGGCTTAGGACTCTGCTGGGCCACTGTGCTCCCTACCTGTGGGGATCCTCATTCTGTGATTTCTGGCTGACTGTTTGGGGAGACTCTTTAGTTTCAGCTAGCCTCACTGTGGCTGTCTGTCCTCCTGTTTCCACCTCTTGAGTTCTGGGACTCATCACCACACCTGGCTAGATCAACATGGCAGCTGTTGTCACTCACAAACTCGACACCATCAATGGAAGCCAGCTTCAGACTCCAGGTGCTTTCTGGCATCAGTCAAGTGCAAGGCTGGAGAGGGTCCTTCCATGGATGAACCATGCCAGGGCTTACACAGGAACTCCCTAAGAACAGGGGCATCCTGAGGATGCTACTCAGAGAACCTCTGCTGGCATGAGGCTGACCAAGGCTGGTGGGCATCTAGTGCTCTAAAACATATTTTTTGAGAATTTGATAGTGCATATAATATATTTGATCATATCTGCCTCTGATTTGTCCCCTCCAACTCCTCCTGGATCCCTTTCCATTGTCCTCTTCCCAACTGCATGTCCTTTTTTTTTTTTTTTATAACCCACTAAATCCACTAAGTTCTTCATGTATACGAATGCGTATGGGGTCATCCACCAGAGCAGGACAACCTAAGGGAGACCTCACCTCTAAAGAAACCACTTTCCTCTAGCACCCATCAACTGTCGGAAACTCAAAAGGAGACAATGTTTAAGTACCAGGGTGATCAGGAAGTCCCTAGTAAGGAAGTTGACAGGACATGGAAACGCAGAAGCCGTGTGAAATGTCAGGCCCATTGCAGACAAATGGTGACAGACACTGGTGAGATTGTGGAGAAAACAGAACCCTCATTCACCGCTGGTGGAAGTGCAAACTGGTGCAGTCAATGTGGAAATCAGTGTGCAGGCTTCTCAAGAAACTATAGAATTCCCAAATAACCCAGCTATATCACTCCTAGGCATCTACTCCAAAGACTGCCTCCTACCACAGAGGTACTTACGTATCCATGGTTATTGTGGCTCTGTTGACAGTATCCAGGGAAAGGAATAACCCTCAGTGTCCATCACCTGATGAGTGGGTAATGAACATGTGGCATATAGATAATGGACTTTTATTTGGCTGTAAAGAAAAATGAGAATTTAAAATGTATAGGAAAATGGAAGGACCTGGGAAACATCACATCAAGTGATGCTCCAGAAAGACAAACACCAATATTCTCTCTTATGTGTGAATCCTAACTTCTAATTTTCATGTGTGTGTATTTATGTGGGAGTGAGTGGGCAGAGGTCAGGAAAATGGAAAGGGGCCCATGAGAGAGGGGAAAAGAGGCTTTAAGGAATGGATGTGGAGAGGACAATAAAGTATGTGTGACACGGGAAAGGTGATTGTCCCTTAGGGTCATAGATTTGTTAACTTAGACAGCAGGATGATGGCAGGGGCTTGGAGGAGCGTTTGGGCCCATGTGACAGCTCATGTACCCTTCTATAGGTCTCAGAGGAAGTGAAGAATACCACATGATGAACAGTCTACAGCACACAGACCTGCAGCCAGGTGCTAATTCCTGGGTGGCACAGGAGGGGAGGGGGTCCTTTATTCCAAGGAAGGAATGTGTTAGCCTAGAGCCTGAGGGGCAGGAGTGTATTTCTTTGGTGGGTGTTATAGGGTGGGGATGTGCTGCCTTTACCTCTCTGATATCTTGGAGTCTGGTAACTTAGCCCAGTAGACTTACTTTGGGGAAATGAGGATTATGATAACTGCCATTCTCCAGGAATCAGGTACCCGGGAGCCTGGGGAGGCCAGGGAGTCTGTTAGGGGGTTGCAGATTTAAGGGCTCTTGGTGGGGGTATGCCATTTCCTGTACAGCAGTCATGAAAAAGGGGGTTGCTGCAGACTGACAGGACCTGATCAGCCCCTAGCTCAAATCTAACTCCATGGAAATGCAGAGTGTGAGGGTGGAAGGGTGCCAGTGGAGAGCAGGGGTGGGGGTGGGGGTGGGGGGAGACAGAAAGAGTCTTACTGGAATTGTTAGGATCTGAGTGTGGGCCTTGGCAGCTGAGCACCTGTCCTCAGTAGGGCAGTTAAAGAGACGGTTAATAATGAAAGCAGAGAAAGGGATTTAGTCAATGTGGCCCTGTTGGGAAGGGGAACAGAGGGGTGTGGTGACCCCCAAGTCCATCATTAGGGTCCTCTCGGGACACTTAGGTTTAGAGAGGGCAAGTGTGTGCATGGCTAAACAGTGCTGGTCAAGATGTGGTCCCGCCCATCACTGACACATCCTTCTCAACTCCAGTCTGTCTTGCAGGTTGTCAGAACTGGGTGACATCTTTCTAGCAGACGAGTTCCCTCTGGCTGTCTTCAGCCTTTTCTTTATCCCATTGTGAGACTCCTGATAGCCAAAATCTGATGGCCAAAGGAAGGGACATAAGCGCTTCCTTGGAATATCTTCATTCCTGTCAGTACATGTAGAAGGAGGGGGAACATGAGGAGCAGATTGACCAAAGCTAAGCATGCATGAATACACCATATGCTAATTAAAAATGAAATTTAAAAAAGTGTTAGAGTCTTACCTGAAATCCCAATCCCTGGGCTTGAAAAACAAGCTTTTGAGTTGTCTTAAATTAAAAAAAAATGATTTTAATTTATTTTATCTGTACGACTGTTTTGCCTGCATGTATATCCTTGTATCTCATGCATGCCTGGTGCCCACAGAGGTCAGAAGAGGGTATTGAGTCCTTGGTACAGGTGGTTGTGAGCCACCATGTCAGTGCTGGCAACGGAACCTAGGTCCTCTGCAGGAGCAGCAGGTGTCCTTAGCCACCGAGTCACCTCTCCAGCCTCTGAAGTTGTCTTTTGTCCTGTAAGACCTCCTTTGAAGAAGCTGTCTGGAAGGAACTTGCTGCTCGTTCCATCCCAGGCTGGCTCCATTAACTCTGTAGGTGATAGGGCTGGGATGTAAGGGAGGAACAGGGACGGTGAAGAAAGGAAAAGGGGATAGAAGAGGGAGGTGGCAGTTTCCACTGTTTTCTGAGGGCTGCATCTATGTGTGCATGCTCTGCCTACTTGGCATAGGAGGAGGGGTGTGGTGATCCAAGCTCATTGCTCTCCAGTGCTGCCAGCTGCATCTCCCCGGCTGTGCTTCACACTGTGCAGCCTGGGACCTTGTCTAGCGTGCATCTGGCTCCCTGCACATCGAGATGAGGCTAATTGTAGTAATAACAGCAGCAGGCTGGTGCGAGGCTTTCTGGCATTCTTCAGGGATGCTTGGCTGCTTACGTTGGTCTGTGGTTGAGTTCTTCATCATTCAGCTCCTGGGACTTTTCATGCTTCGTGTGAAATGTGTTCTGGCAGCTCATGGATGACCTGTCTCTGGTTGTACATTTGGAAGAAACATGTCGCATCTTTTTACAAACTGTTGGCACAAACTGTGAAACTCTCCAATTCCCGGCTTATAGCAAATCTGGCTGGGTTTCGC